GCTTGTGGCTTCCCTCTTGCCTTTTCTAGGCAACGTCCATGTAAACACATTCCCAAATACCCATGCAACAATAGAACTGTTGGACATGGTGTTTTCAATGTGGTCCATGTTGCATCAAGAATGTATAGTGAAGGATAGTAGAAACAGTAATAAAAATCTGGTCATGAGCTCCAGATGGGGTTCGACACCAGGACTTACTGACTGACTGAGCGTCAGTCTCAATGTGACTTTGACTATGCGATTAATTCTTCCATGAATTCCTCCATATTAAAGCGCAATTTTGGGCCTTGGGTTTCTTGTTTTCCAAGGATTTGATGAGATCTCTTCACATAATGGTCACCTCAGCTGGAGACGGAAGTGTCTTTGTTAGTGGATCAGGCATTGGCCCTTAGAAGGCTTTCGATAAGGAGGGGCTTTCCCTGGAATCAGCCCCTGTATTTAACTTCAGATCTCATCCAGTACAAACGTGTGCACAGTGACCCGACGGCTGGGAGATACTGAACGCTCATGATCGCAGTTACCCTAATGGCAGAGCACTGAAATATGTCTTGTGGGTTGGCAACGCGAGGTGTTACCGTCTGCCGTGACGTCACACGCCTCAGCGCTTGGCGCCAAGCACTGTGTGGTGTGTCCGAGGTCGTCGGTTGGCGCCACCAAGCTCTTCCACAGCAGCAACAGCAAAATTACATTTCAGTTCTGCTTCACCGTTCCGAGAAGTTTCGTGCGGCGTCGGTTCAGTGCAGGGCAACGGTCTCACGCGATAGTTATACAGGATGTTCATGTTTATGCGCAGGTTGGGGTACTGCGCAAAGCGTACAGGGTATTCACGTCTGCAAAATTATCCACCTTTGTTGTTTGGAGTATTCGCGTTTATCTCGCTATGTATTGGTTCTTAATGTTGGCGGCGGTTTATGCTGTCATGTTGTCTAGTCCCGTGGGCCACACTTAATACAGGGTGTTCATGTTACCAAAACTTGCCGGATTTTGTAGTATTCATGTGAGCCTCACTTTGTTCAGGGCGTTCTTATATAAAGTTTCTTTATAGAGATTATGCAGCCGTGTTATGTGTGGTGTTCACATTGGCCACACTGCATACCGGGTGTTCATGTTTGGAAAACTTTGCTTAGAATGTTTTTGTGTATACACACTGTCTAGAAGAATATTCACATTTAGTTTAATGCCTATACTGACCTTAAATTCATTTACTTATTTTCTCTCATTCCGCCTTCTTCCTTTCTGAGTGGTTTAGGCTGTTAAATGCCTGTACCCTCCTCAAAATCGCCCTTCCGGTGTCTCCTCTTTCTTCGTCTTGCGTTTCGCCCATTAGATTCATAATTCCACATTATCGTCATTTACCTGTCTTCACTCATTCTATCCACACGGCCAGTCCATCTCTACTTATATACAGAGGGGGTGGCGTGGTGGCAACGCTCGAGATTAGTTTTCTGGAAGGTCTCGGTTCTGATCTCGGCCGGGACACCTATCCTGACAGGATATTTATTGTTTACGCCAGTCCCTTTAGGCAACGTTCCAAGATAGTATCTCGATTAGGCCACGACCACTTCTTCAAAATCATTTCCTACTCATCTGTTACCCTACCGTTCGATGCTGTACAGTACATGCACAAAGTGAGTAATCTCGGACTGCAAACACATTTAAGTGTTTCGTCCCTTTTCTGACCACGTACATCCGGATACAAGTTGTGTTGACTTCCGGTCTTAATCTTATTCCTGTCGCTCTACTCATGGCTCCCGGGGACTCGTGTTTCTGCTGGGTTGTTTACAGGTCCTCTCCGCCTTGATGATAAATATAAATTAACCTAAGAATATATTTAGCTTTTAAGAGTTAATCTTAACGGATATAACGCCGTGTAGCCCGATAAAAATCCACTGACGTTTCGAAGGAACTCATTGTCTCCATTTTTAAGGTCTAAGAGTAAACCAAACCAGAAACTAGTAATAAGCAGGCGGAAAGGAGAACCGTCGGCCCCGGAGATTAAAACACGTCACTTACCAGATTCTGTCATATTCGGTCACGCGCCTTCCCCAGTTGAGGCACAGCGGGACGTTGAGTGCACTTCTGACACCAGGCAGCTGTCACAGACTCACTAATGTATGTGTGTGTGGGGGGGGGCAGAAATTAGCTAACGAACTTAGACTGAGACTATTAGTGCTGATCGCCCTAGGATCTTCAGGCTAGAAGAGCGTTTTTTAAAGGAGGTTCTCTTTCGTTTTTACCAGTGCCCGTAGACAGTTCATCGCGAGGTCCCTCCTTTCCAGCCCTGCCTGTTATGAAGCGATGCGCCGAGGCCGATGTTTAACGCTGTTTCCCAATATTAACTTGCTCAAGTAGTCAATCGTAAACAGTCTCTTTTATACATTACACTAAATTTCCCATTAAAATAGGTAAAGCTATCGCTGTAACAGGCCGTGGAGGCCCATAGGGTTGTGAGACGTCGAGACCCCCACGTTTTCTAGACAGATGGCGGTGAGGTTGTCAGTCTTACGCGCCTGCCTCTTTACTCCACCGTCTGGACCCTACCGGGACTTAATTCCGACCCCTCGGTCGTCCAGCCTATAGCCAGTCGCTATACCGACTAAGCTATCCCGGCTCAATTTTATATACATATATGTAACTGTCCAGACTGGCAGATCCCCCCTGTCTTGCTCTCCTGCCAGCGTCTATAACTCGCACCCAACTCCGGAATGTCCCTGGCTGAAATCGAACTCTCGGCCTTCAAGTTGTTACCAGTTACTTCACTGACTCAGCTGTTCTTGCCCACAACACAAATAGATCACAATATAATGCAGTGTTTTCCAAAGTGTGCCCCCCCCACAGGTGGGGGCGACTATCAGGTAGCGGGGAGGGTGATATTCCGGGAATGGTACATAGTCGAATCGAATCGATTTTATTCTCGAGACATTATAACTCGATTGTTTCATTTCTTCCGTTTGTAAATCCTGTATAAGCATTATTAAGTGTTAAAATCCTAAAATGAGTTAATTTAAAATGCGGGCATTGAAAAGTGGAAAAGCTGTTGCCTGTGTACACGCGCACACACACACACACACACACGGGATCGCAATGAAATGTTTGCTAATTGGAGGGGGTTCCACTGTATACAATTCGAATCCGACTCACGTAATGAATGTTCCAAGAATTGCACATCGAATTTAACCAATAATAATAAGTATTATTATTATTATATGTACTAATTATATAGTAAATAAAGCCAATGACAGTAATAATGACTGAGTTACTGACTCACTCACTCATGGAGCTGAGGCCTTCTGAAGAAACCGCCAATTGTGCAGCCGCTCAAGAATTTCCCAGCATTATATGGAACCCGAAGGTTCATTACCGCGTTCACAAGAGCCCGCCACTGGTCCCTGTCCTGAGCCACATCACTTCAATCCATACCATCCGATCCTATCTAAGATTCATTTTAATACTGCCCACCCACCTACGTCTTGGTCTTCCTGGTGGTCTCCTTTCTTCCGGCTTTGCAACCAATATCCTATATGCATTCTTCCTCCCTCCCATTCGTGCTACATGCCCTGCCAATCACATCTTCCTTGACTTGATCATTCTAATTGTACTGAGTTACTGACAGTGTCATTAAATCAGTAGTAAGAACAGCAATGTTGACGACAATTATGAAATGTTCATTCCAGACCAGATTTGTTTCGGATACTTGTAAGTACTCATATTGCAGCAGTTTTCAATATGATAGGATTATGTCACAAAGCGATCTCCCGCAGTATGCGCCGGGGCTCGAATCGAGCGTGCGCCGGCTCGTGCTGGCGCTGTGTGCACACTGCTGCAATCTCACGTCACGGAACGGTACTATTGACGTTACTAGGCTTGCTAAAAACATATTACCCGTCGCACTTACAAACTGATCGATAGTTACGTAACTTGGCGGGCGGCCTTCTCCGAATATTGTGGTGCTGGGAGGATATGTCTGTTAGGCTAGATTCCCTCTGGGTGCAACAAAAATATAGACCGACAGTTGTGAACGCGCTAATGAAACGTCGGGTTCCATGAAACTGGGAGGGGAAGCGATTTCTTGACCAGCTGAGCTACTGTTAGTTTCTCAAGAGAGACTCTGATCCATTAAGTAGATTGAAAGGGAAGCAACATTGATTTGTTGCTATACATATGCCCCGAGGACCTGAGAAAAACTGCGAGAAAACGTCATCGCGCATGGTGTGACCGTGTACAGCTTGCATTTGAGGTGTGTAAGGATTTGCGGTTACTGAGAAGAGTTTTGTCCGAGCTGTGACGACGTGTAGTCTGGTAGGTGTTCACCGACGTTTCGGAGGAACTCAGCTTCCATCGTCAGATTAGAGTAAGTTAATTGTGGAAAAATGTACTAATGTACACCGGTCAACGCGTACCAAACTACACGGCGTCGCATCCCAGAAGACAGTGGTTTTTATTGTAATTCAGAGTTCTCACAGTTACTCACAGCACCATAAACTTCACTTAACTCTTCTACATTGAATAAAGGAACTACGTTCTTCCGAAACTGCTGCGGGAAACTCAGACCCAGCACAATTTATGGTCGCTTTCAGTAGCTGAGGAACAACCGGGAATGGTGGATGATCAGTGTATAATGAATTGCAGGTGACGTGGAAGAAAGCGGTCGTGGCCGAGTTCACCGCCATCTGTGAGCCGATTGTCTAGAAAATGTGCCTCGACGTCTCACAAGCCTATGGGCCTCCACGGCCTGTTACAGGGATAGTTTATCCCATTCCTATCTCCACCTTTGCCTAGAGGAACTGAGTAAAGCCACGAAAGACCACAGTCAGCATAGGACGTATCGCTGCCGATATTCGAACCCGATATCTCCCGAATACGAGGTGCTACCCAATCGATTGCTACGTTGCCGCAGTGTAAAGACGTGATGTGAACGCGGAGGAATTACTCCACGCCTTCTTAACCTCAGAGTGCCGTAGTCGCGTTGCTGGAAAAGTACCGCCGAGTAAATGTTTTCGCGCTGGGCCGTAGTGGCCGGCTTGGCTCTCGGGTGGGAGGAGGACGCTGTTGTGGTGGAGCAAGAGGCAAGAAGTTGGAACGGAGCTCAGTCAGTGATTCGCGGACTGGCGGCCAGGCAAGCGCGACAATCGATAAAACAGCTGATCAGCAAGCGGCGCAAGGTGAGTGCAGCAACAAGTGGTTACATATGTTTCAGAAACCCATCAGTCACTGCTCTCTCTATCACACATAATAACTTCTCGTTTACTGCCCGGAGCGTGTTTCTGTGCTCCGCTGGTCTTCAGGATACATGGAGACGCGGCGTGTTCTCTTGGAAGTACGAGTTTAATTTTGAAATAATAATGAGATTCGTTCTGTAATTCAGTTGAATCTGAAATGCTGTATAATTATTGAACAATAACCCAGATCTCGGCCCTGCACCACCGCCCCCGCCCAAAAAAAAATCTTGTTGTTGAAATAGTATGGGATGGTATGGATTGAATTCATTTGGCTCAGGATAGGGATTAGTGGTGGGCTCTTGTGAACACGGTAATGAACCCTCGGGTTCCGTAAAATTTTGTGAGATTCTTGAGTAGCTGAGCGACTGGTAGCTTCTGAAGAAACACTTGGCTTATTTAAAAGAAATTTCCGTAGTCTGTAACCCACTGGTTTCCAAAGTGTGGGGCCCATTCCACTGGTAGGGCGCGTGTAATTGGTGAGGGAGGGGACGTGAGATATTTTGGGTAAGTTTGTATGGTAAATTTGTAGCTGATCATAATTCGTAGAATGGCATAGGTTTGTTGTTTCACTTCGTGTATCTGTAAAATTTCGAAAAATATTGATCACTAATAGAAGCCTAAACTGAATTGATTTTGAAAATGAAAAACTGAAATAATTGTATTTTATACACATGTAGTTAAGAAAGGGAAAAATGAAATATTTTCTAAACCGAGCGGGCATCATTATATAAGTTTTATAAACCAGCGCGGCAACTTAGAGGCCGAGGATGTGATAATGTGCTGCCTGCGCATAGCTCAGGGTGCGGTGATGCAATGATGATTAGCAGGGGAACTGAAGAAAGCCCTCCAGTGCAATTTAATTCACCACGAATCTCTTACGAAGGCACCTGGGACTGAACCCCAGGCTTCAGGGTGAGAAGCTGTGGAACAGCTCCCTCTGGAATCAATACGAGTATGCGGCGAAATAGCCAAGTCTGATGACATTTGCAAAACTCCGTCCATCAATTTCGGTATGTTTGTCCATTTGGCAGAACCGTTGAACGATTTTCTGGCATGAAATTTGATGTTGGGATATTTAATTAAGCCTTGAAAGAGTTAATTTATTCTAAATTATATATAAAATCCAGTGCGTACCTCACAGGAAACATTACGTTTCCGCAACAAAGACAAGCCGGTTAATGCTATTTATTGCGAGAATCATACACTCTGTGGGCAGAATACAGAGTTTAAGTTTGATAAAGCTGGTGGTACACATAGTAACCATCGGGCAGTAGAAGGTAAAAATTTGTCCATCAGCTGCAACTTTCGTTGAAATTGGACAAGAATAACGGACAGTTTACGCGAAGGCCTAAATGGGTTTCTGCCGAACTTGTCTCTACAGGACACCGGGGCGATATGCCAGAACTGGGCAAGAATTCTAGCGATAAATCTCTAAGCAGTGTAACGAAGGGTGAACTGAAATTCACGACACACGGCTCATACTTCGCCTGTTTTACGCCAAGACGAGACAGACAGATCAGCGGTACGTACCAGGCCTATGGTCTGGTACGTCTACTTCGTTCGTGGAATTTATCCAGGGCCTGTACACTGAGCATTAGTCTGGGTGTACAGGAAAACGTCTATTCATTGACGTCAGGTCGAAGCAATGAGAACAGAGAGAAGTACGAAGGAAGGGGAAGTAGCGTGAGAAGTGAGAGCCATCTCATTTCGGGTGAGAAAGAACATTATCTGGGTAGCCGGTTCCAGGCTCCTGAGTCTGAGTCTTATGTTACGACCGACGGTCAGTCGGCCAGTCTGTCTTGGAATAAAGCACCCATCTGGGCCTTACGACCAGATATTTATTACTGTTAAGACAGTTGCGGGTTTGGGGCCCTCTGTCTGACGAGACGACGGGTCTGTCGTTTACAATTGCTGTTGGCCCTCGCCAGCGCAGTCATTCTCGGATCCGAGTCCCGTGGGACTCGCGGCTATATTTTACAATCTCAGATTCGAGACTTCCCTTCTCGTCGTCTCCTACGCCTCGCAGGGTTACGGTGGAGGTATTCGACCCCGCCTTCACTACAGAGCCCAGCAGGTTAATGCTGCTTAGGAAAGTAATCGCTGTTTATTATGCGAATCATACGAAACACTTAAATACTATGCGTAAAAAGACGGATTATTTTGGTGTTAAAGCACGTGGTACATACAGTTACCACTGTGCTTTGTAGTGTGAAAGATAAAGGTTATTTAGCATTGAATGAGACAAGAGTATGACCTGGTGAACGAGCAAAGATGGTCATGTCTCGATTCTACCGACTGTTTGCCGCGTAAAGCGTGACTGAACATGGGGAGGGGGGGGGGTCAGCTGGCTGGTTCTCCATCTCTCCGGGACAAATCTCTCAAGTGGATGCGAATCATAATTCATTATCTCGAATTATCTCATTTCTGCTTACGCACGTCTGACCTTTCTTTCTACCCAATATTTATTGATGCCGTTATGTAACTTGTATTTATTGGAATCTGAAGAACAAGCAGTTTCCCTGCGCGTGGCAACTTGTTTCTGAAAACACACACACCTGACCTCAGGACATACATAACAGCAGTTAAACTAAGTAAGGAAACAAAATGCACCCATCAGTGCTGCTATCTAGGGGCATGCTGTTAACTTTTCGAGACACTGCCTATGAATTCAAGCACACTTTCCACTGCGGTGCATTTTTCCCATCCTCTGCTCGTATTCGTAATTACTACCAACTCTGATTGTTAACGTAAACCTACATAAAGACAGAACAGTAATCGTTAGCTTTTTATGTTTTAGGATGGCTATCTCTTTGGTCCAGATTGCAACAAGATTAAACTTTCTCCATAAATTGCTAGTAAAATGACTTTATAACGTAAAATTTCACCAAAATCTGTTTGTCCAGAGATGAGCCATTTTAGGTTGAAAGAGAGGCGCACATTCGCACGTAATTGCGTCACCCCCCCGCCCCCTGCCCCCTCCTTCCACAGGTACCATCTCATCTTTGTAACACGTAGATCGTTCATGTTTTGAAATTTATATTGTACGTTAATATTGTTTGGCTCTGTCGTCCTGGCTGCTATAACAGCGCTAACAGCGGAAATAAGTAACTTATCCCTTTGTATCTCGAGTTCATTTGCATAGTTGATACGTAAATTCAGTCCGTACCTCACAGGAAACAAATTACGTCACCACTAGAAATATAAACCGGTTAATGCTGTGTAAGGAAACAGTCGCTGTTTATTGTGAGAATCATACGGAACATACAGATACACTGTGTGAGCATAATGCAGAGTTCACAGTGGCGGTCATAATCAGTATCAGAAATACTGTGTAATCGTCGTTAAGCATTTATTGACTAGAATCGAATTGAACGATGAATTAGTGTTTATCTGGAAGAAACTAAGGAATTCGGATTCACGAAAAGCGTCGTGTAGGGTACCCAATATCCTGGCAGAGATTCGAAGCTTTGACGTCCCGAATTCTAAGCAGGGATGCTAGCCACTAAACCGCAGCATGTGGGCCCAGAGCACAGACCTGTACATGTAGTTGCATACACACTAGCGCAGTTATAGTACACATTTGAGGCAACAGGGCGCACCACCCGCGGCGACATTGTTACCTGAATAAATTAACAGCCGGGAACAAAGGCCGAACTTCGGTTGGGTCAAAGGTAACAACCACAGGTTCCTGGAAGTGAACCTGCATCATTTGGTTAGCTCTGTACACCATGCAGCGGTGTCAGTTCGATGTAATCACGTGAACGTTTGCATTGCTGTTTCATTTAGGAGCGGTAATTTTGGTATTATAATGTTGTCATTTTGAAACCCCGGTGCTAACGTTTGCATTGCTGTAACTCCTGTAGTCAAATGTTGTCACCTTGAAACCCCAGTGCTAACGTTTGCGTTGCTGTAACTCCCGTAATCCAATGTTATCATCCTGAACCCCCAGTGCTAACGTTTGCGTTGCTGTAACTCCCGTAATCCAATGTTATCATCCTGAACCCCCAGTGCTAACGTTTGCGTTGCTGTAACTCCCGTAATCCAATGTTATCATCCTGAACCCCCAGTGCTAACGTTTGCGTTGCTGTAACTCCCGTAATCCAATGTTATCATCCTGAACCCCCAGTGCTAACGTTTGCGTTGCTGTAACTCCCGTAATCCAATGTTATCATCCTGAACCCCCAGTGCTAACGTTTGCGTTGCTGTAACTCCCGTAATCCAATGTTATCATCCTGAACCCCCAGTGCTAACGTTTGCGTTGCTGTAACTCCCGTAATCCAATGTTATCATCCTGAACCCCCAGTGCTAACGTTTGCGTTGCTGTAACTCCCGTAATCCAATGTTATCATCCTGAACCCCCAGTGCTAACGTTTGCGTTGCTGTAACTCCCGTAATCCAATGTTATCATCCTGAACCCCCAGTGCTAACGTTTGCGTTGCTGTAACTCCCGTAATCCAATGTTATCATCCTGAACCCCCAGTGCTAACGTTTGCGTTGCTGTAACTCCCGTAATCCAATGTTATCATCCTGAACCCCCAGTGCTAACGTTTGCGTTGCTGTAACTCCCGTAATCCAATGTTATCATCCTGAACCCCCAGTGCTAACGTTTGCGTTGCTGTAACTCCCGTAATCCAATGTTATCATCCTGAACCCCCAGTGCTAACGTTTGCGTTGCTGTAACTCCCGTAATCCAATGTTATCATCCTGAACCCCCAGTGCTAACGTTTGCGTTGCTGTAACTCCCGTAATCCAATGTTATCATCCTGAACCCCCAGTGCTAACGTTTGCGTTGCTGTAACTCCCGTAATCCAATGTTATCATCCTGAACCCCCAGTGCTAACGTTTGCGTTGCTGTAACTCCCGTAATCCAATGTTATCATCCTGAACCCCCAGTGCTAACGTTTGCGTTGCTGTAACTCCCGTAATCCAATGTTATCATCCTG